TGGAGGTGGCGAAGGGCGAGGCGGCGGCCCCGGTGGCTGCGGCCGCCGCGGCCGCCGCCGTAACCCCGACGTGGGGGTAGTAGTGGAGGGGCACGTGGGAGTGGAAGGGGTAGGGCAGGCTGCCCGTGGCCGCCGCGTGGGTCATCATGTAGGTGTAGAAGCTGGGGTCCGCCGGGTGGGGCCACGACATGGCCAGCCGCTGCCGCTTGTCCTTCATGCGCCGGTTCTGGAACCACACCTGGAGGGGGAGAGGAGGAAGAGAGCAGCCAGGTGGGTAGGCGGAGGGGCAGCAGCGGACACCCCGGCGGCCGGGGGAGGGGGGCGCTTCGTGCAGCCTGAGGAGCAAGCCGCCCCACCCCACCCCCAAAAACGCCGACCAGGCAAGAGCCCCTCCCCAAAAACAAAGCGCAACACACACACACCTCCGCCAAGGCCTTAAGCCGAGGCCCTCTGCCGACCTCCCCTCTGTCCACTGGAGCGCAGGTCGGCGCTGACCAGCCCCGACGGCAGGATCAAGCGAAGCTCTCGGGGAGCCTCTGTGACGCACCGGCAGCAGAAAGAAGCACCCGGCGTGGCCTGCTTTCCTCACGGAGCCGCTCACGCCCCACAGCTTGTCTCAGGACCGTCGGGGATGATTGACTTCCACGACAGTCTTGTTCTGCCTTGCTAATTTTTTAACGGAGAATCCGCACCCCTTCCACACACGCTCCACACCCCCGCTCTCACACAGACCCGGGAAAAGAGAACCGAGAAGGCGGTGCCTCGTCACAAGCCGATCCCTAAACAAATTAAGCAAAAACATCTGGGTCTGAATCGGTGTTCCCTCTAAGCTGAGTCAGTGTGAGCTAGCTCACAGTTTTTTAGCTTCTGGCTCATCCATTTTTGTCCCGGCTCAGGAAGGATGGCTCCAGAGCCAACTCATTTATGCAGTAGCCAAATTGCTCGCTCACAACTTTAAGGCCAGTAGCTCACAAAGACTCCACCTTAGAGGGAGCATGGGTCTGAATTTTGTTTTAAGCCCGCTGAAAGCCAGTTTCACGCAAACTGGGTTGCGGATGCAACAGTACATCAGTGCCCAGTTTTTGCACGGATCGTTTGGGCAACTGGAGCACACGCACACACATACCCTTCTAACGATTTTGGCTCTCACCCGCGGGGAAAGGCCTTTACAACGAAACAGCGTCATTACCTAAGTTTCGACACAGTTGCCCCTTCCCTTTTATCCTGACCGGCAAGATTTTTTTTTTTTAAATCCCTTCCACAACAATTGGCAAAACAAGACCAAGAACATTTTCCCGGGACTCAGCCCCGCTGCTGAACAGGCTTCTGCGTAGACCTGCTTAAAATTGCCCTGTCACAGTCCCAGAGCAGACCTTAAAGTTCTTTCCTCGCCCTCGAAAACAAGCCAGCCTCTCGAGTTAAGAAAACGCGACTCTTTCTCCGAATTCTATTTTTTTTTTTTATTCTTCTTTAGGGAGCTCGAAGCGGCCTTCTAACTTGAGCTGCCCTCCCCTGGTTGGGGGGGGGGGACAAAACCAAAACAAAAAACCCTTCCACAGAAAAACGAATAAAAAGGAAAGCAGCCAGAGAGAGAACATACAAAAGTCCGTTCCAAAACGGAGCCATTCATTCGCCCCTTCCACAAACATTTTTCGTGTTGTTTTAGTAAACGGCGTGCTTTCCCTTGTTGTTGTTTTTACACTCGCTCGCGCTCTCTCTCTCTGGAAATATGCGAAACAATAGAATGAAAGGAAGGAAATGTAAACTTATTTCTTCGGCGAGAAAAAGGGGAAAGAACGAAAGAGAAGACTGCCTGGGGCGTCCAAAACGAGCGGCCGCTCTGTCGGCCGGCGCTGGGGCGATTCTCTTATTTGTTTGCCTGCCTGGCGTATTGGGATGCTGTTAGCATTGGCCTTGTTTTGCTACCCCGGGGGAGAAGCGTAAACCCCTGCCTCTTCGCTATCGACACCGGCGGACCTGGGCTACGCTCGGGGGTGACTGCAGAACCCGAAAGACTGGCTCCACGAGCCCAAACCCGGGAGGGAGAAGAGAGCCTCTTTTCAGCCGCACCGCGCCCCCCCCCCCCCAATTCCTGCGCCTAAATCTTTGCGGTACCTTAATGGTGGTCTCGGGCAGGTTGAGCGCGGCGGCCAGCTCGCACCGCCGGGGCCGCGACACGTAGTTCTCCCGGTAGAACTCCTTCTCCAGCCGGGCTATCTGCTCCCGGGTGAAGGCCGTGCGGTACCTCCGGACTTGATCCGCGCTGGAGCCGGAGCTTCCCAAAGCGCTCCCGCTGTGCAGGCTGCTGAGACTCGAACCCGACGACGAGGTGGTGGTGCTGGGCGTGGAGCTGTTTTCCGAATAGCCTGAGGAACGACAACAAAGCAGAGGTTGAGTCTGGGGCAGCCGGGCGTCTGGAAACAGGCGGCTTTCCCGCCGGCGGCCCGCACAGTTCCCCGTGCAGACCGTCTGGAAATTGATACCGACTGTCACGGATACGAATGGCCGCCGTTAATCGGATCAATAATAATAATAATAATAATAATAAGTTTCTTTTCTAAACCGAAAACGAATGGCTTCATCAACTAAAGATCTTACGGAAATTTAGAGGTATTATTTTTAAAAATTATCTCCTTCGGCATTTAGTTCACCCGGAGAAAAGTTTGAAACGCGTTTTGTGAAGGTGGGAAAGGAGGCTGATTCTGGACCGGGTGCGCGCCTGCCTCCTCCGTCTGTCACAGAAGCGAAACAGGCTCCGTGGGCCGAAAGGCTCGGGCTGTAAATTAATTTCCTCCGAAGGTAAATTCGGCCAAAGAAAGAGAGAGTGGAACTCCATCGCAGAGGAGGGGGAAATCCCCTCTGATTAGTTACTATCATTTTGGAAGCCGTCTCAGAACGGGATCTGTTCCCATTTTAAAAAAAAAGAAAAGGAAGAAAGAAAGAAAAGTTTCCTTTAAATATTATTTCGAATTATTCCGACAATCAAAATAAAAAATGGCACAAGGGATACGCAGATACTCTTTTAGAAAGAAAGTGGAGAATTATTTTTAGAGAAAACAATCAAACGAAAAGGCCGAGAGAAGGGGAAATAATTCGGCGAGGTGTCACCACACACCCTCGGAACACAAAGCCGAACTGCTCCCCGGAAGATGCCCAGCTCTAAACGCCCTGTACCAAAAGCCCTCTCCCAAACTGCTCGAGCGACACCTGCCTAGATACTTGTGATTGAAAAATACCCGGCCAAAGACGCTGGAGGAAATGAGGCTTCGCTCTCCAAACAAACAACAACAAATCCGGGATGCCCACAGATGGTGCGCCCAAACACGCCCGCGAAATCCTGCCGTGAGTTGAAGAGGGGTCGTGAGTTGGACTGGGGGGGGGGTGTCTAAGTGCCACCCAGGCCCCAGATCCCCCTGCGCTTCCCGCCCTGTCTACAGACTGGAGAGTCTGACCTCCAGCCCTGGGTAGAGGCGCCTCTGCCGTTGGGTGCCCCCGTCCCATCCAGCGCCAGCAGATCTACCCGGGGGTTGGAGGCAGCGTCTAGTCTGGAGGGCTCCGTCTGGAAGCCCAAGAGCGGGCGTCGCCGAGCGCCCGGCCGGCCGGCCAAGTCCTTGCCCCACCGAGCGCCGGCCGAGGGGGGGGGTTTACCTTTGCTGTTGTTCTCCTTCAGCTGCGAGGCGGCCAGGCTGCCGGGGGAGCGGAGCGCGGAGCAGCCCACCTCCACGTCGCTGTTCATCTCTGCCTCCGGCGCCACTTCTGAGTAATGGCCGATCTTCTTCCTGCTCTCGGCGGGGGGCAGCTCGGCGGCCGCGGCGCCCTCGCCGCTCGGGTGCTGCTGCAGGTTGAACAAAGCGTCGATCTCGAACTTGCCTTTGCCGGGGAGGTCCCCGAGGGCGCCGTGCAGGGAGGCGGAAGTCAGCCTCGGGCTGAGGCGGCCGCCGTGAGGCGAGTTCTCCAGGGCCTCCAGCACCGCGTTGCCCGCCGAGTCGGACAGACTGGCCAGCCGCTTGCCCGCCGTCGGGCTGTGGAGCCCTCTTTCCATCAGGATCATCTCCTTTCTTATTCTTTCCATCATCTCAGCTGGCTTGTGTGTGTGCCTGTGTGCGTGCGTGTGTGCGCGCGGGGGGGGGGGGGGGGGCACTCCAAAATAGGAGAGTTTGAACTCCCCCTTTCCAAGAAAAGAAAAGTATATGTATATATACAAAAAAAAATGTCAAAGTTGCCAAGCCGGGTCCCTCTTAATGATGAGGCTGCGGCAGAGGGTAATTCGCCTCCAGCCCGGCGAGTGTCTCTAAATATTATTACCCCTTTTGGAGGGAGGCGTAAAAAAAAAAAAAAAAAGGAAGAAGCCGCGAGATGCCAAAGCGAAGGGAATGACTGGTCAAAATGACCTATACATCCTTCCTAGCCCCGAAATGTCATTCATCACGAAAAGGAGCGCTCGTCATTAAGGTACGAATGACGCTGGTCGAATAATCATTTATTGTAACAGGTTTATAAGCAAATAAATACCGGCTCCTGTCAGCGGATAACGAAGGTGGCTTCTTTAGTAGACAAATAGATCCAGGTAGAGAGGCAGGGAGACCCGGAGTGAAGAGGCGAGCGCCTGTCCTTTCCTCGCGCAGCTCCTGCCTCGATTGCTCTGGGGTTTGGCCTCTGGGGTGAAATTGACAGTCTGATTAATAAAACCAGCAGAGCAACATTTCCCCCTTCATTTAGGTGCATCATTATGCTCTGATTTCCACGCACACCCCCACCAACAGTACCACCACCTTTTCTTTTTTTTCCTCCCTCCCTTAGCCTTTGTATGTGAGTGTGTGTGTGTTGCCTTTTGGAGCTCCCTAACGAAGCCGCGTCTTTCTCGTTTGTCCTCGGCCAAGGCATCCAGGCGAAACAAGGTGAAGGGGGCTGGTTTCGAAGGAGGCGGATTTTAAATTTTTTTGGGAGACAACCTAGGGAGCAGCAAAGCTGCCAAAGGTGGATTTGGGGAGGCGAGATTCAACCCCCCCCCCAGTGGAACGCCTTTCCCCTCACCTTCCTTCCCTATTTAAAGGGGGGGGGAGCAAGAGGAAAGAATCTCCAAGAACACGCAGGTTTCCCTGGAAGAAAGCGACTCGACCTCCGCCCTCCCTTCCCCCACCCCCAGGCCCCCTTTCTTCTGACTTTCATCACTATTCTGGCGGATACGTACCAGCTCCAGTGTCTCTGCCGCCAGCCACCGCCTGGGCAGGGAGCCATGGATTGTAATCCCGAGGGGGGGGGTCAATGCATTTCTTTTGCAGGCGTCAACAAACCAGGGTCTCGCTGTTGGTGTCCTTTGGAAGGGAAGGGGGGGCTTTCTATAAGCCTGTTTATTGACGGAACCCGTCTAAAGTCCTTCCTTCTCCTCTGGCTCAAAAAGCTGTCTCCGGCAGAGCGGCGGAGCGCGAGAAATGTGGCGAGTCACCTTAAAGACATGATTTAAAGCGCCACGGAGGCGCAAAAGGAGACAGGCAGCGAGCGAGTGAAAAATCCTTTCCTTCATGTATTCATTCAGTCTCTACCTGGGTTTCTCTCTGGGCTCCTCCACCCCCTTTCCCTCCAACCCCCCCCCCCCTTAAAGTCCGGATTTCAAGGTGCCAAGGGCACTCGGTGTGAGCAAAGTCGAAGAGTCTCATCAGCTTCCCCTAGATAACCCCCCCCCCGACAAACAAACACACACAGACAGGCACACACTCGCCTGGGGGCAAAGTTACCTGGCAGGTAGTTGGCTCCTCTGTTTCTCTCCTTTTCCGGGATTCTGCGGAAGAGCCAATCTCTCCCGACGCCTTAAGGGACGCTGGGGAAAGCCATTGGCCGGCCTTCCGCTCCGCAACCCTCTTTCCCCCTCACAACTTGGAGTCTAACGACGGCGCCGAGAGCAGGCATTTAAACGGAGATAAAGCCTTTGTCACGAGCATCCCGGGTGGCTAACACACTTGGCTAACAGGGTGGCTCACACACACACGCTCCAGACCCACTGTCCAGCCTTCTCCGCTCAAGGCTCGTGTGCCTCTTTTCCCTTCCTTCCTCCTCCTCCTCTGCTAAAGTTCACCATGCTGATGGTGAGGGGACAATATAGCAAACCCCATCCGTGTTTCTCTCGGGATCGAGCGCCCGCAAATGGCCACCAGAGCCAGAGATGCGCTCTTGGGTTCAAGCACTTGAAATTGCCAGGTTGCTTGGTTCACACGGCCAAACGACGTGCTGATCTGAGGACCCCTTTTGCTGGTCCAAAATAAAGTTTGCCTGAGGCAGGATAAGTCCCGGACGAATCCAGCTGGTTTGAATGGAACAGTGTTAAGCACGTGGCTGATCACCCTCCCCTCGATATAACTAGAGACTTTCAATTATTGTTTGGGATATGGTACACCGGGGTGAAATCCCGAGGAAGTTCAGGGTGCAGAAACTGTACTGAAGTCAAGGGAAGGAAACACTTTAAATAACATCAGGCGACCTATGGCGACCCTGCAGGGTCTTTCAAGGCAATAGGCATTCAGAGGTGCCTCTGCGTAGCAATCCTGGAGTCCTGGACTTCCTTGGACGTCACTCATCCAAGTGCTAACCAGGGCCTTGGAGGTCTCTCTTCTGAGTACTCGCCGGGGCCGACCTCCTTCGCTTTTGCGGTCGGGCTAGCTTGGGCCATAGGAAGTAGGCGTCTCTAATTGTTCCCGAACAGCTCCTAGCGGTGTGTTCATCACCTGGATGTGTGGCGTCAGATTTCTTCCCCCTTAACTTTATTTAGGATGGCGCGTGTGGATTTCCCGGGGCCACCCAACGGAGGATCAACATCAGTTTGATTCTCAGCGCGCTACGTGGAACTAAGCTTGGTTCCACTGAATCAATCAGAAGTAAATTGTTTAGGATAGGCACTTGGGGATTGTACCGAGGGCTGTCCTCCATAAACTCCTACCCAGCAGTCAGGTAAGGCGAAACCTCGTTGTCTGTATCTGGCCTACTGGGAAACAGGGGCAGACAGAAGCCGAGAATGTACGGGGAGTGGGTGTGGCCAACGCATCGGAATCAGAACCGGAAAGGCTTGCTGGTAGAATACGCCTTTCACGATGTGATCTCCTGTTATTGAGAGTCTCTCTCGTGTTGCAAAAAGTTCACTCTGTCTTTTCTGACCATTTATCAACTTCTGCCCAGACGCTGCAGCGGGCCCTCTTTCCCCGGTTAATACAGAAACTCTTCTTCTTCTGGCAAGTTCTCCAAAGACCACTTCGTTTAGACACCACCCCCACCCCCCAACACACACACACACCTTTCCCAACTCCTACATATGACCCTCCACCTTTTGGAATAAAGGTCTACTGGGAATACTTTTTGGGATTCACTTCAGTGCTGGGATCCTACAAAACAGCACCAGAGTTTAAGCTCGCCAAACTTCCACTGCAGATGAGGTCTCCAGACCCTGCGAAATACTTCCGCCCCCCACCCCACCCGCCCTCCCCGTCCCGGCACAAACTAACTGCAGTGCCAGGAGCCATCTCAGCTAAACTGACAAGTGGAAATCATGGTTCTCATTATGTTAAAGACTCCTTTTTCCTGATCGATCTCAGTGTAATCCTCAGCCAAGCCGGACGAGTAACTCGTCATAAAATGAGAAGCGGAAGTTCTGAGAGGGACTCTTCTCGCTGTCATCTGGCGCCCCCCTCTGTTTTCTCGGTGGCTTTAACAGCCTTGGTATCCTCCCCCACCACCACCACCAAGAGTTTTATAAAACTTCAAGGAGATAACTTCGTCTTTGTTCATGTATGCACAAAATTCAGTTCATTTGGAATCCTTAAGACGACTCCTTGTATAGGTATAGATGATACATAGGGTTGGATCTCGCCAGGGCTGGATCTCCCCATTAAATCTTGCCTAGTTTTCCTGCTTACTACAACCCCTTCCGTCATGGTTGATCCCCATTCAGATCCCATGACACACACACCCCGCCACCCCCAGCCCAGTATAGCTCTCCTCCCCTTTTCTCCAACAGACAAGAGGATTGGACCCGACCCACATACATGTATATGTGTTGGGTGTTACAAGTCAAAACACTTCAGTATTTACAGGGTTAAATAGCTCTCCTCCCCTTTTCTCCAACAGACAAGCGGATTGGACCCGACCCACATACATGTATATGCTTATGCATGTATATGTGTATATGACATTTAGCAGGCGAAGTGTGCATTACGAAGTGAGACAAGCGAGTTTCCTCTGGGTTTTCCGGGTTTATTAGTTTGTTTTGGATTTTGCGCCTTTGAAAGAATACCCCAAACCAGCCTCTTTGGAAGTGTGGCTCCTTACATATGCGGGGTGTGTGTGTGTGTGAGGAAAGTTTAGTACACGCCATAAAAAGGAGTTTAGACTAAGTAGATATTAGGTAACAGACATGGACCGCAATGTGCTCGCCTTAGTTGCGGCTCTCCAAAAAGAAAGAAAAACCCTGGTATACTAATAAAGTCTTTCCTTGATGCTTACATTTCTAGACATGCAGATTAATTGGCTCGAATCACCTTTAGAACTATTTATCGTTTAGGGAAACTATTTTTTGGGGGGGGGGAAGGTTCCAAGTTGGTTTTCCAAAGACCCCTTTGGAAGGGCGAGGAGAGCCGAGAAACAGAAAGGAGAGGTTTCACCGGGCACTGTTGATTCAGTTGTTCTTCCAAGATGGGGTGGAGGTGCCGCCGCCCCGAAGCCAGGCTCCTTCCCCCCCCTTCCCTCCCACCGCCCACCCACCCCCAACAGGTTTGCTCTCTGTGAGTTCAAAGGACTGGCGGCGCGATCTCTGTTTGCTGAGCTTTTAATGGCGCAGATCTCACCCACACTTAATTGAAACGGAGCGCAGGTCTCCAAGAGGACTTTCGGTCCCCAGCCGGCCCTGTTTCTTGCAGAGCCGGCGCGCTCCGACCGGCAGGCTGAGTAAATATTTGTTCTCCCGTCTTTACTGCGGGTTCTGTGAGGTGAACGGCGGTGGCTTTCCTGCGCCGGGGCAGGTAATAAACGGGGCGTCCCAACCAGGCAAGTCTCCGCGGAGGCATCCCCTCTCGAAAGGCCGGCGGTGTTCACAGCTGTCTAGACCCTCCCAGTGGCCAGCTCGTCGGGGGTGAACTTGGTTTCATCGCCGAGCACAGGAAGGGTCAAGTGGAGGGTCAGTCCGTGGGCGTTTCTCTCCGAGCTTGCAGAAGAACGGGTGGGGGGAGGTTCCTTAGTAACGCAAAAGGAGGGGCCAGGGAAAGGCCTTTCCCGGTGGCTGGTCTATTCCTGGCCTGCACCTGATGAGAATTTTGCTAACGCCGGTGATTTACCCCTCCAAAACTTTTGAACGGTGTTCCTCATTCTTGGCTGCGGTCCCACACCCTCAACAATCCGCTTTGCGACTGGATTTGACTGCGTGAACTAGCAAAATCCCGTTGGGAAGCGCACTGAAAGTGGACGGGAAGTCGATTGTGTGGGGGGGGGATGGGGGGGTGACCGCAGCCCTTGTTTCCTGTCCTATCTGCCGCCGTCCTGAGCCTTGCAGCCGATTGACTTGCAGTTCTCGCTTTCTGAAGGCGTTTTTATGCTCCTCCGGGTGACGGATAAGTTGGAAACATAGGCAACCTACAATAAGTGCGTGCAAAATGTGAAACGACAAAGGGGGAAGTAAGTCTTGCTTGCAGCCTTCAGTGCGAACGCAGGGACTCGATTACATGAAGATGATGATTATTATAAAGTCACAGGCATACACAAACGAGGGTAACCCTGAGCAGTTCAAACAAATCGCTCTGCCATCAACTGAAACGGATCTCAAAGGCTCTTTCCGCCTCTCTGTGTGTGCTGCGACGCAGCAGAAAAGATGAAGGCACCCCACATTCATGCCGTATCCTCATGGCCCCTGTCTCAGCTTTTTCTTAGAAATTCGCCAGTACTGTCAAGGTGTTTTTTCCCCTCCCCCCCCCCCTTCTGAGACTCCTAAAGAAAACAAAGCCAGCCCTGGTTTTATTGACTTACTGGTAGACAACCGTAGCGGAAATTTTGTACTAATGCGACAGTTGCTTCCCCCCCTCCCCCGAACTCTCTTCCTTTTGCAGTAAAAATTCTTCTTAACCCAGATACTCGGAGGCTTCAGGTTTCGCTGTAGCATTCCGGGCAGCGGTCCAGCGAAAACTCGCGCCCGGAGAGCTCGGAGCCTTTAACAGGCAAACTGGAGGGCCATCTAGTGGCTGAGTGTGGGAACTGAACCTTCGAAAACAACCTCCGGGAGAAGTTGGAGGAGGTTGCGATGGGGAAGAAAGTCTCCCCAAAGTTTGCGATTTCAGGGTCGCAGGGCTTTGGTTTTGTTTCAAGCACGCGACTGTTCTGATGTTATTGCTGCAAACGTGCCGCGAGGGGCTGTAGGATCCGCTGCCTAGAGTTGAACGGGGCAATTCTTACCTTTCTAGGCTGCAAGAAACGGTCTTTTCTCGGCGAATTTGCAACTTAACATTCATTCAGTTGGCCAAGGGATTTGCAGTTTGGCTCCTGTGGGGTGGCGAGTGTATGCCCGGGCGGGCTGTGCAGGGCTGGGGGTAAGGTACTTATCCTGCCCCCCTAACTGTCTGGTCCACTTGATGTTTTCCAAAACCTTTTTTCTTCTCGGTGAGTGGATGCCAAAGAGAAGAGTGTACAGAAGCGGCAAGCCCCGAGGGGAAAGAGATGATGTATGGCTGTCGCTACCTTATCGCTGCTACCTGTACTAGGGTTACCCAGCAATGCTCCCTCTAAGCTGTGGAGTCTTGTGAGCAAAAATTCTACTTTGTGAGCAACTGGCATTAAAATTGTGAGTGAGTGATTATGCAGTAGCCAAAGTTAGTTTGCTCTGGGGCCACCCTTCCTGAGCTAAGACAAAAATGTGTGAGCTGGCGGCTAAAAAACCGTGAGCTGGCTCATATTAACTCAGTTTAGAGGGAACACTGGTTACCAGTTGTCCTCTTATTACAGGATATTTGTTTGGTGTCCCTCCTCTTTGGGGCTCTTTAAAAAAACACTAATGAAAATATCCTCTTTTGGGGTTGGAAGGTTAGGAATATTCCTCATTAGTAGTATTTATCGCAGCTTAAAACAGTAGGGGTATTTAAAATGAGATCTGTCATAGGAATCCCTTGTTTGAAGTAGTCAGTCGGGAAATATGTCCTCTTGTTTCCTTTTCAACATATGGTAACCCTAACCGCTACCATGAATTACCAGTGGGAGAAGGTTGCGTTTGGCTTGAATTAAAGTTCCTCATTTTCAAACTCAGTCGATAAGTGGGCATTTAAGGATGCCATACTCGTGGCTGACTTTTGAGTAAACTTTTCTCTAACTCTCCAATTGATATCAACAGGATTATGAATGGGTCCTATCTCCTAATATTTATAGAGAGTTTCTGACACCCATTCCTGAGGATCTAATATATGCTTTAAAGAACAAAGATGGCGTTAAAGTCCCTTTTATTCGAGATGTTTCGTTTTACACCATTCCAACGATCCAGTCAGGGGTCTGTTTGGATGCGCTTGTCTGATGTCCCCGCTGGACTCGATGGGCTAGAACAGTAGCCCAGAATCAAGAAACTTTGGGGAGCCAGCCTGGAAAGGTGTGGCGCAATGACCTCCTCTCCCTTGTCCAAATGTTGGGGCTTCTAGCAAACGTTCCCGGAGTGGAGTCTTGTCCTTAGCCAGAGCCGTGCAGGCAGCTGCGTTTCTTTACACCCATTAATCGAGGCAACAAAATGCGGGCGACTAAAAACTGGTTCTTTTAGCCACAGGATGCACCGTTCCCGACCGCCAAGGAGCTCAGCGTCTGCTCCGATCTATATTGCTCCCGCACCGGCGTTTCAGATTGACTGGCCAATAACGAATTAAAACGGTAGTCAGCGAATCGACAATGAATGGATAGGGGTCAGCTACGGACCAATTTTGAAAGTATTCTATAATCTCTCCTCCGCGCCTCCGTCGCATCCGTTGAATATTAGCCAATCAGGCCTAGCTTATTTTCAAAAACCACAAAAATAAGCCACGGTCTGTGACTACAAAGCCTCCGAATCGTACCCGAGGCAGATTCGGATTCGCTGCGGGCATGATTGCCACCTTTTTGTCTAAGCGCTGATGGAATCATCCTCTCGCACTCCGGTTTGTCTTTATGAATTCTCACATGCGTGACACCACTTTTCCGACAATGTGTGTCTAGGACGCGGGTGCCAAAGTGAAGAGGGATCGAAACGACGGAGGCTCCAGAGTCCTGGGTAGAGAGTTCTCTTATCTATCGGTGGCAAGGAAGTCCTCGAGTGTCCGGCGGTTTGGGCGTGAGCGCCAGGGGAAGACTCTGAAGCCGGCCTCGCCTCAAAGATATGTGTCGGGATTTCAAGAAGGCCTCGCAGGGAGATGCGAGAAATCAACCGGGCGAGCGCCTCGTTGAATTAAGAAAGGGCTCAGCATAGCTGGCCGGTTAGGTCGCTCTGCGTATTGGGGGGCGGTGGGTGGGATGAGATAATTTCTTCTCAAAACACAAATCTCGACCACCTCGCCCCCCCCTTACCCCTTTTGCAGGAAACCCCCCATTCATTTCCCTGGATACTCCCAGAGACAGCTGAAAAAACGGTCTATCCCGATGCCGCCTGGGTGGAAAATGTAATGTCGATATATGATGTCAGCTGCCATACGCGCCGTGTAAAGGCCAGCCAAAGGCGTGCGTGGAAGGGCGGCGGCGGGGGGGGGGCTGGCCTAGGCAAAGTATTCAGGGAAGATACTGCGCGGGCCCCCCGTTACTCCGCGCGGTGCCTCTGCAAAGCGGCCTGGTCCAACCCGGGCAGAGTTGTTTTCGGAGAGTTGAGGAAGGAGAGAAATCGGCAAGGGTGGCCCGAATGACGCAAGCCTGGAAAAGTCTCGGCCATTCCCCTCTCCCTCCTCACACACTTTTTTCCCTCTCTCTCTCTCTCGTTCGCTTGAAGATCAAGGTCATCCCGACCTCTCGCTTCACCAGCAATAACCGTGAATCAGGCCAGAGGCTTGGGTCACCTGGAATGTCTCAACCCCTGAAGGGGAACAAGTGGTGCCAAACGACGAAAGGCGCGCGGGTGCGTGCGTGTGTTTCGTCCTGGATTCCCCACCCCCTGCCCTGGTGAGCTCATTGTTTTGATTCCCCTTCACAGCATCCTGCCGCCCCACATTTCTACACACATCACAAAAGGGGGGGGAATGACTCAGAAGGTTGATCTCTCAGGACCCGCTGGTGGGCAGGGGACGCTCGCCCGGCGCTGCCCTAGAAAGAGCGCAGCAATCCTCTGTCATCCTAGTGCCCGGAATACAATCCGATGGGCGCGGCAGGATCCAGGCCACAACCTGAGCTGCGTTGATATCCAAGGAAGTGTGTGTGTGTTTGTGTGTGTGTGTGTGTGTGTGTGTGTGTGTGTGTTGGGGGAGGCGTTCCTTCCAAGCGCGTAGACCGCATCCTTTCAGTTGGATGAGGGCAACAAGAACTGTTAATATTTCTTGTTTGCCTGTTTAGGGTGGAAACGGAATCGTGTTACACGAGCACGTTCATCCTACACTACTCGGAGGTCTAGCCGAGCAAGAAGTTCCGAGACTCGCAGTTTTTAAGGTGGGCGAGGAGGGATCCCGTGTCTTACATATCCGATTGGGGGTGGGGGAACACTTCCAAATTCTGCACAACTGCGTAAGATTTTTTTTTAAATAAAAAGTGTAGAATTCGGTTGAGTAGAAGAAATCGTGCTTCCCCCCCCCCTTTTTTAATGGGTGCCCTCAGTAAGCACTTCCTAATGGCCCGCTACTTGACACGTCCTGGCAACAGACCGGGATTGGCCTGAAGGCGGGAGTGACCCGCCTGACCTTTGTCAGTTTCACTTGCTGGCCGGCGGCGCTGCGGAGGCGCGACCGGGTCGGGGGGAAGGCAGCCCTGGAGGCCTGGCGGGGAAGGGGGGCTCGCGCGGGTTTCCGGCCACTTGTCGCTGCCACCCCGCGGCCACCCCGCGCCCTTTTGCTCAGGGACTGGCCGAGTGTGATGCGGAGGAGGACTCGAAACCCCGGTGGGGAAGAGCGACCGGAAGAACCCAAAGGCCCTGGGAAGCCACCGCCCTGGGCAGGCTGGGTTGTGGCGCGCTGTCAGCGCCGAATCCCGCTTCAGTCCCGGAGCCACCCGAAAATCCGATTCCCTCCCACCCACCACCCACCCCCATCGTCCCTGTCGCGCGCTTCTTTTAAAGCTCTCTCGCTTCGGTTCAATTCCGCATTAAGGGAGTCCAGGAATTAAATTAAATTAAATTGGCTCAGCCTGCCTGTTGGAGGTCTTTCTCCCCCCTTTTCTAGCTTGTCTGTCTGTAGGAGAAGAACCGAAAGGATTATTTAGCACACTTTGCTGGGGGGTGTGGGGGGTGAGAGAGAAGGCTGGTTTAGTTTTTATTCTTTTGAGGCCTGTTGCTTGGTGTTGGCAACGACCAAGTAAGCCCCCATTGCCAGCGAGCAAAATACAGCGACAAGCTTCTTCAAAGGCGGACTTCTGTTTCATTTCAAAGACCCTTCGCGAATTTCAGTCAAATTCGTCTCCACGGGGTCTCCCGGAGAGGAGAATCTCAGCCCCGAGGCCTTAGCGATGATCGCAGGTGGTGGTGGTGGCTGGCATCCGCACGGGTAGAGACTGCTTCAGGCGGGGTAGCAGCAGAACCAAGTTGGAGTCCAGGGGCACCAGTCAGACCAACAAAGTTGAACTCTGGGCACAAGCTTTCGTGTGCATGCACACAAAACCTTATACCCAGAATTAAAATGTGTTTGTCCTAAAGTGCCCCTGGACTCGAACTTTGCGGTAGAGATTGAGTCCCACTTAAACACACGGGACCCGGTGTGACTTGCTTCAGAGTAAAACTTGGACCACTGCGCTGCAAGGGTCACTTGACAGTTTACCTTAATGGGGCTGGCCCCCGAGGGAAAACAACCCAAACCTATGCAAAGGAACACGACGCCGGGCGACAGTGCCAAGTCATGCGGGCGACCTGCGGATCCATCCCACGCCTGGCGAATCGGAAGGAAGCCCCACCAACCAGGCCGGGGAGCTGAGTCCCGGATCCAGGGGTGCGTAGGGCGACGGCAGCCTGGTGGCTCCGGGGAGGATCGAGGAGTCGACCCCGTTGGCTTTGCCACAGAGTCGCAGCGCGGTCCAAACGCTCCCGCAAGGCTCGCTCGCTCCGAAGCGCCGCAGCCCACTAGCTAATGTGAGGACCCGGCCCGTGCGTGGCCCTGGGAGTCCTTCAGGAAGGCGGCCTCAAGCCCACCCTGCTCCGTTGACCGCCCGAACCTTAAGGGGAAGATGCAGAGAGTCGGGGTGCGGGGGGGGGGGACCCGTTCCATGCCAGGGCGGCCGACCCACTTCGGTCTGTGCAGCGAGGAGAGGAACAAGGCGGGGGGGGGAGTTTGGAAGGGGAAGGCGAAGTCCTCCGGATTCCTCCGGCCCTCCTGGTTCAAATTATGTGGCAGGTCCCGTCAAAGCGAGGGGGGAGGGGCAACCCAGAGCCATTAATATTTAAATCTTGTTCCAGCAACTCTTCCCTCCCTT